GGGGGGGGGCATTCCCCTTTAACTTGGGAAGTTTACATGCAGTTAACCAGCTAAAAGAATATTGTGTATTTAATAAATAATTTGTAAATGAACCCAGAGTCTCCTTTGTTTAATTAGTGTCCATGTGATGACGCTACCATGCTTTTTTGCAACTTGTCCTATACATAGGCTAACCCTTTTAGGCTTTAGTGTAGAAAAAGTGCCATTTTGTATCTAAAACTATTCACATTTGAGAGAAAATTAGGGTGCTACATCATTTGTATTTGGTTTTTTCTATTCACATTTTTATTGTCATTGACATTGATCACGTGTTTTGGAATACATCATCCATGGATACCATCATGAAACATTTAAGAGGTTTGATATGCTTGCTGATTAACTGCGTGGCTCTTGCAATGGACGGTATTGCAAAACCGGGAACTTCCCGCCACACAAGGTCGTCAGAGCAAGGCAGATCTTAGGAAGCAGACCTTAGCAAAATCATCATCTATTATTGTTGTAAGGCCAGTATTTTTTTATGTAGACCAACTCTTGATTGAGTTCTTCACGTGTCTGGCAAATGATTCTCTTTGGGCGTACACCATATTAATTTTCCGTGGTTTCTGAACTTTTCACACACACGACCGAGTCCTCTTTCATTCATTCACGACCCGCAGATCTGTGCTTGCGCGCGCCCGCTTCCGGCCAACCTGCTCCAACGCTACATACGAATTATGATGACCCTGAAGGGACAGAAAATGCACAACTAGTCGCAAAAAAATATTTTTTTTTAAAAATGTTCTTTTACGACCAGTGGTAAATACTTTTGCGACGTCGTGAATATTTTTTCAACGTCATGAATAAATTTACTAGTCACAAACTTTGTCGTGAATATTTTTCCAGAAACTTGAAGGGTTCGCTATTTGCCCATGCCTTCCAGATAGAGCCACGGCTAAATTCAAGATACACACATTGCTTGCTCTTGGTAAGGAAAAACGGGTTGTCCTTACCAGGAACAAGCCATGTGGAAAGCAAACCTTGTTTTTCTGAGTCGTGTCGTTCCCAATGGACTTGTTTTTTTCTCAATGCACAGCGTAATTGTTCACTAGGCATCGCACGTGGACAACTATGCAATAGTACACGTCCAGGTACACGCGCATGGTCAATGCACCGCAGCTGTACATGCAGAATGCCCAAGGTCAAGCCAGGCAGGCGCCTATCATTATGCATTTTCCGTTTGTTAATATTAGCACACTTACCCTCCAACTGAAAAATATTGGCGACTAGCGGAGAAAAACATCGCAAAAATATTTGCGACTAATCGTGAACTTTGTCTTTTCAGGGCCACCATAGAACTACTTTCTTGGGCGGGGCAGGCCTGCCGGTCAGGTTCGAGTATGATTCATTACCGAGCGAAATCTACACGAAAAGGTAGTAATTGGTCTACATTTTTCGTGTCTGAAGCATGAACATAATATACATTATTTTGTGCATTTAATGTTACATCACAACGGCCACGCATGTACTGAAGTTTTATTGTTCAGTAAAAATGTCGTGAATGTACCGGTACTGACCACGCTGACTGAACTAGGTCTGACCATGGTCTGGCGTTCGTCGTCCGCTGATGAGGCTCTAGCTCTAACGAACAAAATGTCGGGGGGGGGGGACGACGCGACAAACCGGTGTGTCTAGGGGACTTTCACTGCATTGCAGTATACTTCTGTTGGGCGTTTATTTTTTCCCACAGCACTGTTGAAAAACCTGACTTGAATAAACGGTAAAGGCCATATTGTTGCTCTTCTTGAAGTTGGGGTTCCCCCCCCCCCAGGGAAGGCCAAGGGCCATTTTCCAAACTCGACTTGGGCTCCGTCAGAGGCTTCGCATGTTTTTTTTTTTTTTTTTACTTCCTGACTCTGAGGTCGTAAGCGCAATCTGATAGTGCCACAAAACACCAAATACCATGCAAAAGAGCCAAACATTATAGTACTAGCTTCAATTTAAGTTAAACGCTTCAGGTCCACAATCGGGGATTGGTTTCCTACACGAAGCCTGAGACAGAGACGAAGTTGAGTATTGGAAAATGGCCTTGGCCTAAGTTACAAGAGACCTAAAGATTACTAGTCTCCTCTCAAGAGTAGCAATAAAATAATTTTGCTTTAATGAAAGTGCATGGTGTATCCCCAGAAAATTGTGTAGTAAGCACACGTTGGGTGTGAAAAGCGCCCAGTTAATTGGAACTAAGTAAGTTGGTCTATAGATGCCAATGTTGCTCATAAGTTGATTTGGTATTGTTTATTGTTCAGCTATTTCGACTGATTGGTTTGATATTGAACAGAGATGACGGATGGTAAGACCTATTTGAAGTTGAATACATCAGGAAGTGCACCATTGACACTCTGATTGTGAGTGTGAACTAGATGGATAAGGGCAAAATGGCAAGTGCCACATTGCCCGATCAAGAAGGTGGGTATAGGCCTAAATCATGAATGTCATGTAGTATCCTCCAGTGAGTTGTAACTATGCATAACAATGCATGCCTTTATGCTCTGGAATTGTGTACCTACTCTGCATATCATGCATATGTATTGCCTTACTAGGTTACAAATTTCTGCATTATGTCCATACTCCGAGAAAATCTTGTACATTGTTGGCTCAGTGCCAGAAGGTTTCTGCGGCAGAAAATACTCTTAGGACTTTATTCTGAGCACAAAAAAATTTTTTAGTGAAGCAGAATATTTTCTACTTTTAAGTTCTAGACTAATTTATACAAATACTAGGTTTGGGGACAATACACCAACCTTGTGAATATGAAAAAAAGTTAGTAAAAGTGCAGAGTTGAACTTGGTTTTTACATTTGAAATTAAAACTTTTTCATTGATGTGAATCATGATTTTAACCTAATCAGTTTGAAGATTGTATATTTGAAAACGTTAAATTCAGTATTCAATGTAAATCGATTGTGCTCATTAGTGTCTGTAACTTTCTATTGTCGTTAAGTGGCGTTGTGCTGTAAAAGTAAGTTTCTTTTGTCCCTTCTCCCAATTGATGTCTTTCTCTTGAATATTCAACAGAGGATGGAGTGCAACTGAAACTCTTATTGGAAGGAGATGGAGGAGTGGGCAAAACCTGCCTCTGTATCTCTCATTACCAAGGCTACTTTCCCCGTCTTTACATCCCTATGAATTTTGACCGCTGGTCATTTGGCACTGTGATTGCTGGGAAGACTTTCAACCCTGTGTTTTGGGATGCATCGGCAGGGGTACAGTACATGTAATGTCTTGTAGTTTCATAACATCTTGTGTGATATCTTAACCTTCTGCTGGAGAATGTCACCAACTGTCAAATGGAGGGATTTACTTGTGTGAAAACATGGAGGGTGTTAAACACTTTTCAGCACATATATATGTGTATTGAGTCCATACTGATCTCCACACTTGAGTAAATTCCCATTGGGTTGTACACACAAAGGCTCCAAATACATGAATGTGTTTGGATTGTTAAGCATGCATGTCACGCACAAGTGGCTTGGGCCACAGCTGGGCATTATCATGGATATTGCTCTGCGACAGTCTCGGAGTTTGAAAAAGTGACGATGGGGTAAGAAATGTCATACAAATCATGAATATAGACCTTGAAAACAGTAGAAAAGGACCAATATGTTGACTGCCACCCAGCATCTGAAAAATCTCCCACTTCATATCATTGACATGAATGCACATTCAGTTTCACACCTGTTTTTCTGTCAGTTGTTTGAAATAAACCTTTTTGACGTTTGCAATGCATTATGGGTTTGGATGACAAATAAGCAATGCACTTTGTGCACAACCCTATGGGAGGAGTGCATGCAAAACGTTAATCTGTTTCCATTTTATTTTGTACTCCTATTCAAGTTACCCCCTTCTGACAAAGTGTTGCATTATTGATTTTGGACCAAGATATTCACAAACTCTGAGGTATAAAGCTGGGCAGGAAAAGAAAATTTAGAAAATCCCAACAACACCACTTTTTGTCATGAACCATGTGTTGACAAAGATCGTGAACATTAATGCTCTAGTATTCGCCAATCAAAATCACGAAGTGTAGCTCATTCAACCCGCATTCACGTTCATTTTCAGCTTGTAGAGTTTTACTTGTGCCCTTAAAAATACTTGTGCCCTTACAAATATTTGAAAATTATTTGAAAATGTGTCTTGTATATTCTGATAAAATGCATGCAATAGCAGATACATAAAAAATATTCAGTAGAAAACTGTAAATTGATTTCTGACTGGTTCACTTCCCCCGTGAGATTTAGCATGAAATGCATTGCTTATTTGTCATCCAAGCCCATGATGCATTGCGAACATCAACAAGGTTTACTCATTTCCCCAAGCACCTTAGAATGGAGCAAAGATAGTAACAAGTTGAATAATGTAATTTGAACAAAACAATGTGAAGTTGAATGTGGTAGGTCCAAGTATTTTCTAAACACAGGATGTTCCAATTACTTGGTATACAGGGAGAAGATATGGATCGTCTGCGGCCTCTGAGCTATCCAGGAACCGACATTTTTCTGATGTGTTTTTCAGTGGAGCGCCGGTCTTCCTTTGAACACATTGAATCAAGATGGCTGCCAGAGATCCGTCACCACATGCCCACAACTCCCATCATTCTTGTGGCCACAAAGATAGGCAAGTCCACTGATACTTAAGCAGGGTTCCTGCAGCCTGGAGAAGTCATGAAAAAGTCATGGAATTTTGTAAAAATGACTAAAAGTCATTGAAAATTCATGGAATTTTTCAAACATTGTGTGTGATTTCTATTGTCAGAAATAGGTGCATAAAATGTGTGATTTTATTCGCAACTTTAAAAGTCTGAATAGTCCAAGAAATTGCGTGATTGGGTCATGGAATTTCTTAATTTGGTCATAGAAAAGTCATGGAATTTGATTGTCCTTTAGGTGCAGTGATCCTGCTTAAGGGACCATTTGAGTTGTGTTTGGCACACTAACGTGTACACAAACAAATATAGGCCAAATGAAGCACCATCACTTGATCTGTACATGACACATTTCATGCCCTTGATTTTACCCTTCACATTGGAGCAAGTGTTTTGGTTGAAAGATTTTATTTTTAAGCCCGAAACAGAGAGTGCTCTTCTGAAGGTATGCTCAGATGTTTTTATGACAGACTAATACACCAGAAATGATTGGTGTCCAACTGGCAGCTGACTCAGTCTCATTAGGTACTGTAGTTGCTTTCTGATTGGTCCCATCATGCAATTCAAGATGCAGACAATTCAAAGAAAAGATCTGTTTACATATCCTAAAGGTTCCTTGTAAGGATGGGAGGTTGCCTTTAATTTGACAAACATTTAGAAAAGCTTGCCCTTGCTACTCACTTGTTAAGCCAACAGTTTATCACACTGCAGTTTAGAATTGCTTTCTGGGTCATTCCATGAGGTTGGGGCACAATTTGTGACTGTGTCCTTGTTACATGGGTACCTTTTAGTATCTGTTATGACCTGTAGAGTACATGTAGGTCATTTACTCTGTAAAAATAACACACCTCTGTATTTAGCCTTGCAAGCTGCATAACAGTGCCAATGTGGAATCCACATGCCGGGAAATAGCTGTTCATTTTTGTGGAACCCATGTACCAATTCAATTGACACCATCACAAATAGTGCCCCAACCTCATGGAATGACCCTTGTACATATTTTCAGTTTTAATTTCTTGATTATTATTTCACTTATTTGCTGAACCTACCGATGAATGCATGGCTGCAGTTCGATATTTCATATAGGCAAGGCCTTTCGGGAAAAAAGCCTTGGGCATGAGTCAGCTCATGAATGTGCTCATAGGACAGATTACATTAGTAAATTTTTTGGGAAATTTTTTCCTCGTACCCATTTTTACACTCCTACTCGTAGGAAAAAGTCCATGTACTCACATTAATACTGACATGAACCATGCCCATCTGTGCTAATCTGCTACTTGTCTAGATCCTAAAGTGACAATTTGACTTGAGTTTCACTGTTTTATACAGGGTGTCCACATAAAAAGCATACCGAGATAAAAATGACTGTAATAGCAAAACTACTTTATATACTTTATATATGGGAAAGAGAAATATATCTCAAGAAAGGGCAGAGTGCCCTCTCTGCAATGAAAGACAGCTTGTGATGATATTGACACAGATGAGTGAACAAACTAGACTGGTGTTAAGGGTACTGAAATCGGCACTGTGACAAGTTTGCATATGTGATTTACAAGGCTAGACCATGCAAGTGTGCAGAATGCCAAATGCCTTTGCTTTAAGAGCTGTTAGAAGTTGCATATTGATAACAAAAGTCAGCATGTGGGGTGAAGGCGATTTCTTTTTATGGCGTTACCTGCAGAACAAAAGTTTCACCACACCCTCAGCTAATGTTCAGGAGTTAACGTGCAAGAATAGTGGAAGAAGTCAGTAATCTCCGTCAAGACTTTGAAATGATCAGACGCGCAGTAAAGGACATGTAACGAAGACGTCAGGTGTGCGTTGACAGGAATGGTGGCCATGTGGAGGACTTAGCACATTAAACTGTTGAGGTAAGTAGTGAAAACAAAGTGGATAAGATTGATTTAGGTACATTCCTCGTTTTCAAGAATACGTTCTTAAAGCAAAGGCGTTTGGCATTCTGCACACTTGCATGGTCTAGCCTTGTTAATCACATATGCAAACTTGTCACAGTGCCGATTTCAGTACCCTTAACACCGGTCTAGTTTGTTCACTCATCTGTGTCAATAACATCACAAGCTGTCTACCATTGCAAAGAGGGCATTCTGCCCTTTCTTGAGATATTTTTCTCTTTCCCATATAAAAGTGCTTTTGGTAGTACAGTTATTTTATCTCGGTATGCTTTTTATGTGGACACCCTGTAGACTTATTAAATAAGACAGACTTATTTATTTTTGTGCAGACCTTCGTGGAAGTCCTCAGTACAGTTGTGTGACGTTTGATGAAGGCTTCAAATTGGCACAGAAACACAATTGGCCATACATAGAGACGAGTGCACTCCTTCACAACAGTGAGAGAAATTGGTCAGGCATGCCACGTACTGTAAGTAGAATCCTTTGGATAAATCTAGGGATATGAAAGACTATGCATAATGATGTCACACTTTGACAATCACCCACATATTCCTGTAGGATTGCAGAGGATCATGTCCCATGGAAGAACACTGCCAGTGTCATTGGTGTGTTATTCCAGTGGTGTATGTGCAGTTTTACTATCTCAAAAGTTTCTCTTTTTTTTCTGTTTGCAGCCAGACTCCCTCAGTTGGCCCTATCCTCCGAACCACGAGGAAGTGGATGTTTTCCACCTGTATTTCTCTGTTCAGAGCAGGACTTCCCTGGCGAATGTTGAAACGAGATGGGTTCCAGAGATCCGCCATGCCATGCCTGACATTCCAATCCTCCTGGTGGCAACGAACATAGGCAAGTGTATCAGGAAATAACTTTTCAATTCATTTCAATTGTCATTTATTCCAATAGTGCATATATAAGGCATTCAAG